GACAACGATAAAGTCTATTAAGAATAAAGATTCCATGTACCATTTATTATACCATAGTTCATAGTTCATTTGATTTTGCATAAGAAATAATCCTGAATTTTAGTGCTAAGACGAAGCTAAAGGTGCCACTGTATTGAAAATAAGCACTTCTAAGTCTAGTGTGTAATGTACACAATATGTGATAACTTGTAATTAAGGAATGTTTATTATGACTATTGAGATATCGAAAATCATTGCGTTATTATACAGAAAAATGCGATATTTATAGGAAATGGTATTTGGAATTCTACAATATTCAAGTACATTTTGTCTCGTGATATCATCGGGCGTTTGTTAAAAAATGCGTTACATGCCATATATTTAATTCTGTATAAAATGACTCGAAGTCACTGATTGCTCATTTCATTATGGAATGACTGAAGCCGAAATCAATATTCAACAGATATCACATAAATTAGTTTTTAAGCAGTTCACAACATTTAATCAACAAACTAGCAAATATGACAGCAAATTGAAAAATACAAGAAGTTTTTATTTCAGAAATGTTATGAATTAAGGGCTTCACTAAAAGTTTAGGGCTATATGTAGTTAATAAGTGTGAGAATCCGAAATGTATAATTTCAAACCGGTTTCAGGAAAAAGGACATAATAACCCAGAGAACCAATCCTTAAATGTTTGCCTTATAATTTATATGGGATGTTACTTGGTAACAACTGCTTTTGAAAAACTTAACAAGTCGAGTTGCAAAGTATTTGAATGTTCATTACGTTCGGACCTATTGATTGGTATTTGAATCGACGTTAATCATAACTAGAGTTCCTCCTATGTTTTTATTTACATATCCACACAAACCCATACCCATACAAAGTTGAGTATAGCTCTGAGTCCCAGCTCTTTAACATTCTGGGGATCAAAAGTGCAGACAAACAAAGCAAAGCGACTATCTCGATAGGATGAAAAAAGGATCTACACATTCAAGTATGAAAGTGTCCAACTACAGATATAGTGCTGGAACTCTATGTGCACATTTTACTTTACTTAATTTATTTGACTTGAAGTATAAACATAGAATTTGAAACTTATGACAATCCCAAAATGCAAATAGAGATAGCTAACTTATGCATGCAGATGTACAAACATATACATATTCATTCAGCAAAATATTTCACAAGCAGCATTAGCGCTCAAGGATCATGCAGAAATATTGATATCATTAAGAAAATGAATTCCACAAAAATACGCAAACTTAGGGAGCGTCGGGCTTCTTATACCTCCGGTTATATTGCGAAAAATGCCAGGAAGTAGAGGGGTTTTTAACAAGTTGGTAATTTATTAACCTATTGAGTATCAAATTAGCATGACGTGAATAAAAGCAAAATGAGCTTCATTAAAAAAATATACATTACAGACATTTGAACCAGACCTCCTCAAAGATTCCGGACCACCACACTGTTGCTCACATACAAGCATTCCATTGAGTTCAAGAACCATAGTTTTAGTTGATAAATTCAGAAGATACCCAAAATCTATAAGAGCCGAATGTCAAAACACCCTTTATATTTTCTTACACTTCGAAAGGCTGTTTTAAAAAATCTTTACGTAGGCTAGGCTTGTAACACCGGAAATATTCCACAGAAGGGACAAGTGAGGCTTCAAAATTCGCTCATATTGCTTGTTTATACATCTAATAGGTATAATACAGAAAACGAATTCAAAAGTGTCACATTTGTATACTAAACAGGGTGGGCAGGTCACTTTTGGATTTGAAAAAATTCTTCGAAAAGTTTGCAATTTCAAATACAGTTATTTGAGTGTTTCAAAAGACCGTACCCACTTGTTTACTTACCTCTCTTCTGTTGTTAATTTTTTTATCAGTCTGTGGTGTATGCAAAGTCATTTTCTGTTCCCATTTGTTAATATTTTTTTGTGAAATATAAATGTGAAACTGAGTATGTAGTGTATGTATGTTAGTTTGTATGTTCCGTTTTAACTCAAAAACAACTGAGTTTGATGAATTTTAGCACATATTGTGTAGATTAGGGCTACTTGTTATCAAAATAAGGTGGTGAAACAAGGGTAAAAGCTACTATTGGAAAGCTACTACTATTTAATGCTGGATATACCTTTATGGTTTCATAAGCTCGGTTCTTTGATGCAGTCTAAATAGGAACTTTCACTCTCAAGCTTTTGTGGATAATTTGGAATATTTCAAATTAATCCTAAATGTAGGAGTATATGCCTCCCCTCAACTTCATCTTCAAAATAATCATTATTAGCGGACTTTGAGGACTTATATCCTCAAGATAGGGTAGGAGGAGGTTGAATACTTCGACATCTTGGAAACTATTTAACATATGGACATTAAATTCACAAAACATATCAGCTAAGAACATATTCTTAAACTGGGCTGCAGTAAAGGGGTTGAGGGCAGATATATACAGGGTGGCGTATCGAAAACGAACCAGACGCATTTACTGGCAGCTCAGTTTTTTTTTAAAAACGGTCAGATCCGTCGATTTTTGTTTTAGAGGGGGACACAAGTTTGGCAAAAAATCACGCTGGCACGTGCAGCCCCCTAAGAGGGGGTGACATCACCCCCAAAAATCTTAAATGGAAAGAGGGGTCGAGTGATACCTTATTTTAAAGGTATTTCAATTCCCTTTATACTGATATAAAATTAATGTACTTCAGTTCAGTAGTTTTGAAGATTTATTGATTTAAATCTCAAATAAAACTAATACATCATCATTGGTGGAGATCAATACATTTGGCAGCAAAGTAATTTAAAAAGGAAGAATGAACTGACCCGTTAGGCAAGTAAATGTTGAAAATAGCCACCATGACTCTCCATGCAATAAGAAAGATTTTGGTCAAAACGTTGCCGCACATTTTGCAATATTTGAGGAATAGTTTGAAGCCACTCATTCACACTTCTTTGTCGCAGGTCTTCTAATGATGTTGGCTGAGTAACATAGATTTTGATTTTTAAATGACCCCACATAAAGCAATCTAAAGGTGATAAATCTGGCGATCTTGGGGGCCATTCAATGGCACCTCCTCTACCAATCCATCGATCTGGAAACGTCTGATCTAAATATTGTCGAACACGTAATGCGTATTGTTGGAACATCAACCTATCCGCAATGTACCGCCGATCATTCTGATTTTCAATTATGGCTGTTTCACCGGTCAAATTACGAGGTAAGAAAAAAGGACCAACTAAATGAGCGCCAAAAATACCAGCCCAAACATTTAATTTTTGTGGCTGCTGTGTACGAACCTCATGATAAATTCTGGGATTAGAATCGGACCAATATCGGCAGTTATGGCGATTTACTCCGCCATTTAAGAAAAAAGAATATTCGTCGGAAAAGCAAGTGTTGAATAGAAAATGTTCATCGTTTATAATTCGTTCATTCATATTTTCACAAAATTGTAATCGCCGATCAAAATCGTCTTCAATAAGTTCTTGTACCAGGTGAATTTTATACGGATGAAAACTATGGGCCTTTATAATCCGTTGGACAGTACGTCGACTAACACCACACACAGTCTCCAGTTTGCGGGTAGGATCCACATAAACTTGCCCTAAAACCCAAAAACTCCCACTTCTATTGCTTCGTTCCTTATGGGATTATCAATGTTGCGTTTTTTATTGGCGACTGACCCAGTTTCCCGAAATTTAGCTACCAGTTCTAGAACATATTTTCGATGCACGTTACTGCTCTAATGTCGCTCATTAAATATTTCTGCTGTTCTATTAGCGCACCGATTATTTCCGAAAAATATTTCGATAATTTCAACTCTTTCTGCTGTGGAATATGCCATGGTTAATTTATGTAATAAAGCGTTACAATTTATTTTAGCAACAAAGTTTTGTCAAATCAATCGCAAACTATGTACTAAACTCCTATTTAAAATAAGTACGAGATACTTCTTTATCTTTCTTCAAGAAATAACTTTTTTGTCACAAAAAACGCTCCAGTAGCTATTTTCAACAACAAAATGATGAACAACCCATCGACGTAGTGAAGAAAATAATTTACTTACCTACTAAAGTCTACTTTAAGCTTTAAATCAATGAATCTTAAAAACTACTGAACTGAAGTACATTAATTTTATATCATTATAAAGGGAATTGAAAGACCTTCAAAATAAGGTATCACTCGACCAACCTTTCCATTTAAGATTTTAGGGTTGGTGTCACCCTCGCCCAGGGGCTGCACGTGTTAACGTGATTTTTTGCCAAACTTGGATCCCCCTCGAAAACAAAATCGACGGATCTCAGCGTCTTTCCAAAAAAAAAAAATTAGCTGCCAGTAAAAGCGTCTGTTTCGTTTTCGATGCGCCACCCTGTACAAAAGACAAGTGATACACTTTAATCACGAAATCTTGAAAACCATGAAAATGAAAGTTTTATGGACAGGTCATCAAAGACGAATTTCATAACAGGGCCGGATTAAAGTAGCTAACCGAATGGATTCACATTGATCAAGAAATCTACGAAATTATTTGACCAGTGAACAAGACATTTGGTAGAGAGTGGTTCATGGAGAATCATGAAATCTCGGGAACTATTTGACCTAGAATCACGAACTTTGGCAGGAGGTAAGACATTTCAGCCAAGAATGGATTTTCTGACAGTGTCAGATTAATGGATTAAGCGGCACTTGCAAGTTTGTTTGAAGTTGCTTGGAGTCTTCTAATATGGATGGATTGGGTAACCGGAAATTTGGCAGAGAAATAACTTTTACAGTTCAATTTAAAATGCTAGTTTCAAAGTTGGTAATATTATTAATTTGTTAGCTTTTTTTCCACAGTTTGGCCACCGCAGCTTATAGGTGGATACATCAATAAAATGACCAAATTTCCCAAGCCTGGAAGTTGACTGTCAATTTATACTTATAATCTTAGCAGTTCCCAAAAGTATTGTTACATATTAGTAACACGTTAACGCGTATGAAGTCGAGGGTAACAGCTAGTATTTTTATACACTTACCGCAGCTTTCATGTTCACGTGTCGAGATACGGGTGGTGAATCGAGTCGGATGGAAAGCACTGCGTGTACTGTATCGGTAGTACTATAACCAGTGGATCGTCGTACCTACACCTACACACCGTGCTGCTGATCGTTCGAATCAGTGTATTGAACTGGTCCGGTACCTGGACACACTCCTGCTTTTATGCTGATACGGATATACAGGGTGTGAGCGTTGGACAAACTGTGACGGATCAAGAGCAGGGTGCACCATGAACGTCCTGAAGTAGCTTTGACAGGAGGACTTCCTGGACTTAGAGAAATGTGAACCCTTCAAGCTCAAGTCACTCTAATAGAGAGTTGATTTAAGTGAATTTTAACAACTTGTAGATGTACCGACCATAGATGTCTATGGGGCAGCTTTGGAATGCAAACTGGATAGATTTTAAGGAATGTGAAGGCGTACTTTGCGAATTAGGGAAGGTGCTTCCTTTGAACATACAAAAAGCATGGATATTCATGGAACAGCTCTGGAAAGGCAACTTTCTGAATTTGAAGAAACGTGAATGCTTGACGGTCAGAGATCATGAATTGCGAATTAAAAAAGAAGCCTCCTGGATAGACTTTGTAGCTGTACCAACTATAAACGGGAGCCTGTGTTTCTAGATTTGAATTAAGATACTTGGATTGAGAACCCCAGACGGTGGCTCTTGGTTGATTTGGAAATGCATCAAGCATGAGCGTCCATCTTTTACATTTGAAAAAATGTAAATGGTCAAAGCTTAAAGCACTTTGATGAAATTAAGCAAGACGACTCACAGACGATCTCGACACATTGGACATGCACCAATCATGAACATCTATAGTGCAGCATTGGAAGGAGGGATTCTTGTATTTGAAGGAATATTAATGTCCAGGATTGTCCATTATCCATACTCTTGGATGGAGAATTAAAACAGGTGACTCATTACTGGAATAATTTAAGTTTGTCCCGGGAACTTACGCATAACAGGAACTTTTCAAGGCAACCTCGTATTAGGACCAGGAAATTTTGTAGGTGTTTGAAATATAGCATAGCCGTCGGCAACACACAAAAACAAATCTGCAGATGTACTGAAAACAAAAGCTTCTGACTGATCAGCCATAGAAATGTTGCCAAAGAATAATTTGTAATTTTGTTTTGGAGTATAGTCACATGTGAGAATTATGCTCAAGTACGATCACATTTTCTTTCTTGCTCTTCTGCGTAGTGCACATTTTATGAACGGTGGAATCCCAATACAAATAAGATGCCATTAGTGAAGAAATAAGGAACCAGGGCTGTACAAAGGACAAGAATGGTTATTTTAAGTAATTGTTCGAACAATTGCGTAGAGTAGATTGACTAGACTTCCCGGTCTTATTTTAAAATTTGCTATTTTTAAAGTGAAGACTAACTAAACTACCAGATAAATTTATTTACTTTTGTACGATTATTATATATCACAGATGCGTACTATTAGTGCAACAATTTAAAACATCCAATCCCTATCACTTTTCAATCTATCCGAAAGCTTTCTGGAATTGAGCAGCAAATTTAATTCTTTATTTTTTCCTGTATCTCCGCGGCCTCCGAATCAATTTTCAAAAACTTCTACTGCCTATTTTTCAGCCCTACTATGCATAGTAGTCACATTGTGTCAAAATGGAAGGTACAAAGTCAATTACCTGACAATGTAAATTATGAAAGTATTGCATTTGCTACAATATTCAAACTCTATTAAGCGGGTTTATGTTGGTTAAAGATATTTGCACCACACAAGTCGATGCCACTTACTTCCGTCGAATTGTCAGTCTCTGTCTGTCAGTGTCCTTGTAACCACGTGTTTTCAGAAACCCTTGCACTCATTTTTATGAAATTTGAGGAACATTGTTGTGGTTCTAAAGAAACTTATGCTATATCATAGTCATAAGAGTAATGGACAAAAATTTCAGCGGCATCAAACCATTTACAAACTACTACTATAAAGTTAGGCAGCAGCGGTGGCCGCAGTAGTAGACTCTTCGGTCTCCTGATCAGTCGCCGTGCGCTGTGCGGGTTCGAGTCCCGTCCCAGGAGAAATTTTTCTCTTGGCTATGGCTGTTGTGATTGTCCGTAGGTGGTAGATAGTCTCTGACTGACGAACGCGGAGGTACCACCCGGCGGATCTCGTAGGCGGAGCCAGAATGTGTGCATGTTGCATGTACACGTGTTCTCTTGCCGGAGTCCGTGTGGCGTTCCCCCTTTCCCATGTATCCCCCTATAGCCCCACGGTACCCAGTGGGTGCTTAGGCCTTAGACCTTCGTGGGATTTTGAGTATAAAAAAAAACTACGTTTTCGTACGTTTCCCATATCTCTGCTGCTTCCCGGCATTATGAAAAAATTTCTTGTCACAGTTTTGAAAAGTTACCAAACCGTGTGTATTTACGGAAATGTGTATTACACCTAATACCCGCTTATTAATATTCGAGCTCATTATTCCCCACATCTCACGTGACTTTAATGGCTCGTCTCAGACTTTGAGAGATTTGTAATTTCAATTTTGTGGTACGATTAGCGGCAACTGTGTATTTGTATTTGTGGATTCATTATTTGCAATTGTTCGAAATTTGCGCTTAAATAAGCTTTAAAATCTGCCCACGAGTTATGAACAATGAGGTGAAACGATCACGATTTTGATCGCGTGACCCGATGTTTTAGGTACTCCCATAGGTGCCTGATAATGCCCCGCATTCAAACTGATGGGACACACACACGTGCTCTTTAGTGATTGATGCTCCCAAGGGTATACTCTGTAGGGACTACAGCTAGTATTATGACAGGTAGAGTAATTTCAAATCTGGGCTCTTGATACTGAGTAATATATGGAGGACTTTTCTCCGTGATAAAGGTCAAGTGCAGCTTGTACGGTGGAGAATTTAGGATACCCTTAATTATATTAGATTTTTATCTTGTTAGCATTCCGCATTCGCCGTACTTATCGAAGCAATAACGTCCAGTTTTAAAATTTCCTAAGCTGTAGATCAAGTAACAGTAGAGGAAAATAGATTCCGTCATAATATCAGGCTGAGGTACGAATACCTAGCAGGCGATGCTCAATTAAACCTGTAGCTGTTCAGGTACGAATTTATTCAACAAGTTGCAACATCTGTTACAGTATTACAGTTGCTTACAGCTTGCCTATGTGAACAAATATAGACACAATTTGCTCAACATGCGTCTGGAACATTTCTTCCGATATCTGCAAAAAATTGTTCGTACAGAGTTTCCAGATACATATTCCAGAAATATAAGGTGATTTGTTCTGGCGCTTGTGCCCCAATGTATTGCAACATTACTGGCACGTGAGCTGGTATTTATAGACGTTATAATGTTACACTGATTTCTCGGAGTGTGTCCAGATTTGTCATATTCACATTATTATGACGTATACACCTACCAGCTGAGACATAAATTAGCTGCTCCTATTCTGCCGAACGGTTACTACGCCATAAAACAGCAGGGAGCCATTTTCCTTGCCCTCCCCGTGAGCCTATGGCTGGAGATGCGCCGCGGCGGCGGCACCGTATCCCGTACCAAGGTTTCCCCCTCTGCCCCTCCGAAACAGATCACGCAAACCAGTTCCATGGTTTTCTCACCGGCCAGCGCTAAATTTGGCAATATTTTGTTTTGATTATCAAATCCTGCAACAATTTTAGGAATGCGACGAATGTTACGAGCATTTATTCAAAGTAGATGATACACATGGGCGTGCCTGTAGCACTATGCCACACTGGAGCATATCATCGGAGTTTGGTTTATTATTTTAGGTAACTTTACCAAGTATGACCCCTGAGAGTTGTATATTATACAATGTATCGTTGAGGGACCATCAAAGAAGGGCCTGTCTCTCTTCTTCCGCCTTGTCAACGGACTTTGCTCCTCAGGGCTTTCCTCCATGATTCTGCCTCGCGTTGAGACTCAGCAGTCACGCCCGCCAGAGTTCTAACTCCCATCTCCACTGTGAGAACTGCGCCCATCTGGACCTGGCCGGTACGACCGCTCCTTGTTTCTTAGCGACCGATAACCTTAAACAATTTACCTGAGGAGGCTTTTCTCAGTTCTGCAAACCTTGAGCAGTTCAAAACTCGGATTAACAAGCATCACGGTGCTCCGGTATTTATGTTCTGCCTACATAAAAAAAGTTGTGACGTATGTCTAACTGTCAATCCATGTATTTGAGAAGATCTATAAACAGCTTCAAAAAGCATTTCTTCCAAGTAAACTGTCTGTATTTTCACTTGGGCAATGCGAAGGTAATGTAGACTATTATTTGGGCAGTGCCAATTACCAATAAAGATATTGATAACTGTGAGTTGCCAAACAATAGCCTTTAACTGGATATAAATGTAAGCTTGATAGTACTATGTCATTATATTTATGTTCAATCTATGGATAGAGGGCGTCGAAGTTGATTTACCAGAATAGAGGGTAACCGGTTGGTTCAAAATTATTAAAATCGGATAAACGTAGGTGTTAGCTTTTTTTTTGTCACTCAGCATATGAAACAAATGGCTAATTTTTGTGGCATCTAGAACTTCATATTACGTATATATAGGAGTTGCGTTGAAAGACGTTACTAATATGTTATTCTTTACATTATCTACTTTGTTTACATAATGTACGAGTACATGAACAGGCAGATGTAGACAAATGCAATTGTCTACTAGTAGTTGACTTGACGTCACGTAATTCTGATGTAGGTGAAACATAACCTTATATTCCCTGTGTTTCGGTGATGTTTTGTGTTATTACTTTTTTTGTGCTTGTCCTTGACATACTTTCATTTGAACTGACTTGAATTACTGAGTTACTCCTCATAACAGCATAGCACGAAGGCATTTATAGTCCAAACTTTGGAATTTGTAAATAATTCAACAAATGGGTCTACACATACCAATTTTAACCTAAAAATGCTGAAATAATTCTTGCCAGCTTATGTGTTGTATACTTTACATCTGTCTAGTGTGGATATAATCTATACCCTATTTCACGGGTAACCTTGATGGTAGAATAACAGCTGATCCGTCAACGACAGGTAGTCAGAGCTGTATTTTGCTTTGGTTTTTTGTACGCTGCAGATTCTTTTTGTACTTGCTAACAGCTCTTTTATTTAGGAAACTTCATTT